TGTGGAAGCCGCTCAGTCTGCGAATTCGCAGGTGGCCCTGCCGGCGGACCGCTCGCCGAACCTGTGCGAGCTCCCGGCGCGGCGCCGCCCGGTCTGAAGCGTTGCCTTGTCGCAGCGAGATTGGAATGCTCATCCGTCCGCCACTCTCCGAGGCGACGCCTGTGCATATCGGGCAGGCCGGGGGGGTGGTGCCGCGCGCTCGCGGTCCCTCCCGCCCGCCCTGTGTGGCGTGACGTGCTGGTCGCAAGCCGCTCCCTCTTGGGGGGGTTGGTGGCCGCCCCTCGCCGGGTGCTCTGCCGTGGCCTGCGACAGGCGCAGCACCCCCAAATGAGCCACGGCCAGTGGCAAGCGGATTTTATCGCACACGTTTCGCGTTGCATTGTTTGCCGCGGTTTTTGGCCCCCTGTGCGGCCTCCGAAAAACTGCAGGGTTTGCCCTGCGGTGTGATGCGGAAAACGCCAAAATCTGTCCAAAACCTTAGGGAAAGCAAGAAATTGGGCCTCTTGGGGCCGCTTGGGGGCTTCTTGTGGCCTCCTGAGGGCCTGTTGGGGGCGTCTTGGGGTCTCTTAGGGACCTCTTGGGGACTCCTGGGACCTTAGGGCCCAGAGCTCGAAATTTTGATTCGTGTTCCCCTCCTGGGACCTTTCTCGGGGCGTTCTTGGGGCCTTCTTGAGCCGTCTTTGAAGCCTGTTGGTCCGGTGCGAGGTCCTCTTGGCCGTCTCGGAGGCTTTTTGGGGGCCTCTTGGGCCCTCTTGGGGCGGTTTTGGGATCCTCTTGGGCCGTCTTGGGGTTTCGGGAAGCCGAAAAGGTGGAAACCAACATCTCTCCAAAACTTCAGGAAAAGCAGTGAATTGTGCTTCTTGGGGCCCTCCTGGGGCCGCTTGGCGGCCTCTTGGGGGCTTCGTGGGGGCCTTTGGGAGCGTCTTGGAGTTTCCTCTTGGGGACTCCTGGGGCTTTTTTAGGGCCCCGAGCTCGAAATGGTGATTCGTGTTCCCCTCCTGGGAACTCTCTTGGGGCGTTCTCGGGGCCTTCTTGAGCCGTCTTCTAAGCCTCTTGAGCCGTTTCGGAGCCCTCTTGGGCCGTCTTGGAGCCTTCTTGGGGGCATAGTGGGCCCTCTTGGGGCGGTTTGGGGGGCCTCTTTGGCCGTCTTGGGGCGTCGGGAAACCGAAAAGGTGGACACGCCAAAACCTTTCCAAAACCGTAGGAAAAGCACAGAGTGTTGCCTCTTCGGGCCCTTTTTGTGAGTGCTCTGGGAGGCGTGTTGGGCCGTCTGGGGGGCCTTTTGCGCGTTCGAGCGATACTGTGGCATCTCGGAGCTCTCTTATATCATCTTGAGGGGCTCTTGGCGGCCTCTTGGCCTTTCTTAGGGCCCTCTGGACAGCCTCGAGGGCGGCGCCCAGGAAGAAAACCATCTCTGATCCGCAGCGCCCGGGTCTCGCCCGGGGTACTGTTTTTTCCGGGCACCCGGGCACCCCCAGGGGCCGCCCCGCGCGCTAAGTAGAGCTATTGAAAAGCAGTTGCCGGACATCTTAGCACGCCTCGGCCGGCGAACTTGTGCTGCGGATCTGGCCAGGAAACAGTAAAAGGGGGACAGGATTGTAGAGCAACAAGATTGCGAATATCGGCACGGCCAGGGAAAGGAACACCACCGAGCACACGATGTTCGAGAACCCGAAGGGATACGCGTTAGGCGTTCGCGGGAGTATGTAGGTTTCGTCAGGGGGACGGGGGCGAAGGCTGAGGAGCGAGGGATGAGAAGACAACGTAAGAAGGACAGAAATGTAGAAAAACACGAGGAGGTTGCATAAACACATGATGCTGTCATGGGCGGGAGGCACGCTCGGGGTTCTCTATAAGTGTTCTACGAAAAAATGCCACCGTGTCTGTTGGGGTCTCTGGGGGGGCCTTCGGGAAGCATCTTGGAAGCAGCTTGGGGGCCTCTTGGGGGCCGTTTGGGGGGTTCATGGGGTCTCTTTTTGCCCGGTCTCTTGGGGCATCCTGGAGGCTTCCTGGGGGCGTGCTGGCAGTTTCGGGGGGATTCTTGGGGAAGAGGGCTTGAACTGTCAGTGCGAGTTCCCTGTCTTGGGCCCCCCTAGGGGCCCTCCGGGGATTTCTTCGGCGCCTCTTGAGCGGTCCTGGAACCTTTTTCGGCCGAGTTGGGGCCGCATTGGCGGCCTCTTGCGCCATCTTGAGGTGATCTTGGAGGCCTTTTAAGCCGCCTTCCACATTGTTAAAAGCCACTGTGTTAAAATCCACGTCTGTCTTGGGCCGATTTCTTTGTGGGGCACGAAGCGTGTGAGGAGTGTGCCGAAATAGCTGGGGCGGCAGCATGCGAACGTATTCATTGGGACCTCAGGTGGAGCACTTGTGGGGGCACGGAACGTTTGGGGGATGTGCCGGTACGGGCGGGGCGGCGGCATGTGAACGCACCCATTGGGCCGCGGGTGGAGCTCGCGGACGCACCCATTGGGGCCGCAGGTGGAGCTCCCTGCGGAGCACGTAACGCTTGAGGTGTGTACCGATACGGGCAGGGTGGCGGCATGCGAACGCACAAATTGGGGCCGTTGGTTCAGATTCGTGTCGGGCACGAGAAACGCACGAGGAGTGCGCCGATCTGGGCGGGGTGGTGTCATGCGAACACGCCCGGCGTATGTGGAATTCCCTGTGGGGGTGGCAGCGCGGGAGGGGCGTGCTGAAATGGGCGGGGCGGCGGCATGCGAACACGCCCACCTGGGCCGTGGGTGGGGAGCTCCGTGCGTGGCGCGCAACGCGTGGGGGGGGGTGCCGATGCGGGCGCGGCGGCGGCATGGGAACGCACCCGCGGGGACCGCTGGTGGAGCTCCCCTGCGGGGCATTTGTCGGGGGAGCGTAAGACCCGGGTTTGCCAGGACTCGGGTTCGCCATCGTTTTTTGACGACCGGGCCTCGGATTTTGACGAGGAGGAGTTTCGTGGGATGTCTGCAGCGGGAGGCCTCGTCAAAATGCAGGCTCGGCCTCGTCATTTTTTTGACGACCTCGTCGGGGATTTCCGAGTCCCCCGTACCCGGGTCTTACGTCTCCCCGAATTTGGCGCGCGAGGGGGTGTGCCGAAATGAGCGGGGCTCGGTTGTCCCAAAAGGATTTGGACTGCAATGGATCTGGTGCAGTAGACTTGTGGGGTTGCAATGCATTTTTGGAGCGTGCAACGCATTGCAGGGCGCAAATGTATGGCTGCATCCTCGCGTGCACTACATTACTTGCAACACAATGCAATACAATTCTTCAGCGTAGCACATTTGCAATATAATTGCCCCAAATCTATTGCACCACCCCCTTTCAGCTGGACCCCCTTTTGGGTCACGAGCTCCCTGCGGGGCATTTGACACGTGAGAGGGTGTGCCGAAATGAGCGGGGCGGCGGCAGGCTTAGAAAAGGTTGTTTCCCGAGCTATGAGAGGGCCCCGAATGCATTGCAAGAAGCACTGCAGGTCTTTCCAGGAGCTCCTTGGGTCAGCATCGTCTAAACCCTCCCTATCCCCAGTGAGTCATGGTAGTATCTCAGCACCAACAGCACACACCCCCAGGTGGGGAGGCCTCGCGAAATCCGAAGGACTAGGCAGATCTCCACCTAGGTTGGTAAGACGGTCAATGGGTCTATGGTGTGCCGGTGAGGTTAGGGAACGATTAAACAATTCTCATTGGGTTCAGTTGGCCCTAAGCAGGGAGGCTACGATAGGTTCGTGCCGTGTCGACCGGCGTCGACCCCGCCGCCAGCGTTCAATGTTGAACGCCGCTTGCGACCTCGAATCGGTCGATGTCGAACGATCTGACATTTCGGAAACGGCCGATCGTTCAAAGTTGAGCCATGCCAGCGGTGTCAGGAGCCAACGCCGGGGTCGACACGACACGAACCTGACTTCCTCTGGTGCGCGCGGACAGGGATGGATTAAACGATGCTCCTTGGTCAGGAGGGAAAGAAACACACAGACACAATTAATCGTCGACTCCCAGGAAAATATGCAAAAATATGGGAAGTGGTGGGGAAGCCAAAACCCCAGAAAGTATGGGAAAATATAGGGGATAGTTTTATTTGTGTGTATTTATTTGTGTGTTCCAGTTCCCCTTCACTTGGGTCCGGCTGGCCCCATCCGGTGAGGCTAGGCCCAGAAAAAGCGCCCAGGTGCTGCGTGCAGACCTTCTGCCCCAGCCTGGCGGCGAGCGAGGGGGGGCAGCGAGGAGGAGCGGGCCCTCTCGGAAGGCTCGGAAGCCCCCCGGCCTTCCGAGAAGTTTTCTGGGCTTGGGCGTTGCGTAATGGGGGGGTCATAAATGGGGGGGTGGCGAGGGTGGTCCGAAAAGGTACCCAAACGGTACCTAAACGAGCCCCCTGGGGCTCCGGAGGGGCCCGAAAGGGGCACGAAAGGGGACCTTTTCTGACCCCCCCATTTGTGACCCCCCCATTAAGCAACGCCCAATGGGCCTTCCCCGAAGATTGGGGGCGGAAAAGAGGGGGGTGATGACTAGCGGGAGGTGGATGTCATGGCGTGGGCCATGATATCTCCCCAGATTTCGCGGCGCCTCTTCTTATTCCACTACGTCTCTGGCCCCCCCGCTGGGCCGCGCACATGCCGCCGGTCATGATTCGCAGCCCCCCCTCTTGGACACCCCCCTCTTGGCCGCTCCCGAGAATCGGGGGAGCGTAAGACCCGGGTTTGCCAGGACTCGGGTTCGCCATCGTTTTTTGACGACCGCGACTCGGATTTTGACGAGGAGGGGTTTTGTGGGATGTCTGCAGCGGGAGGCCTCGTCAAAATGCAGGCTCGGCCTCGTCATTTTTTTGACGACCTCGTCGGGGATGTCTCCCTTGTACCCAGGTCTTACGTCCCCCTGAGAGAAGACACAACAAAACTTCTCAGCAGGCCGGAGGGCTTCTGAGAGGCCCCACCGCCTGCTGCGAGGGCCTCCTCCTTTCTCACTTCCCCCCCCTCGCCCGCCGCCGACCAGCCCCCCCGGGTTCGGCGCCAGGCGTCGCCGCCGCGGCAGAGCCGCGCCGTCGCCAAGCGGCCGAGCGCCACGCGCACGCCGTCCAAGGACGCGGTGGTCGAGCGCACGAAGTCGCCGACGGGGAGCAAGGACGCGGTGATCGAGCGCGTCGTCTCCAGGAGGGGGGGGGGACTTTGGGAGGAGGGTGCACATGGGGGGAGGGAGGGGGACGAGGACTCGGCGCCCTCCTCCCCATCCTCGTCTCCCCTGTTGCCTCCCCTTTCCGTCGTGGTCTTCCCTCCTCATCCTCCCTCCCCCCCTGTCGATTTCGGTCGCTGCTGGGTGGACGCCAGCGCGTCGCAAGATTGCTTTGATGGGTGAGATCCTAAAGGGCTCCCTCGAGGGCGCGAAGTTATTCGCGCTTCGCGGTCCTCGTTCCTTCTCCCCCTCCTCCTCGTCCTCCTATTCTCCCTTTGGGAGGGCGGCGCGAGAGCGCGAAGTTATTCGCGCTTCGCGCAGCGCGAAGCGCGAAGTTGGGAGCCCTTTTAAAGACAGTCCCCGCCTGCTTCAGGCCACCCAGCTACGGCCGAAGTTCGGCCACGTTCGCACGACAGGCTCCAGCTTCAGCTAGGCTCGGGTCTGGACCCCTTCTTCACCACCCACCAAGCCACCCCAACCCAACCCGAAGGCCTCAATTTATCCTCGATTTCCAGTGGGGGGGGGTCGGGGAACGTTGAGAAAACACATGGAATCCGTACCCCCCCCAACCCGAAATTCGGGTCAAATTCTGGTCTTCGGGTTGGGTTGGGGTGGTCTGGTAGGTAGTCACTTCTTGTAGCCTCGCACATCTACTGGGGTGAGCGGGTGCGTCAACTCCAGGGAAGTGGGCGAGGAGGAGGAAGAGGAGGAGGCAAGTTGGCACAAGGTCTTCACTTTCAGTCGTGGACCTCCCCAGGCTCTCTTCCTGGACCTCGCCGGGGCTTGGCCCCGAGCTTCACAGATGCTCTGTGGACCTCCTCCGATCTGGGAGCCATCCCTGGGACTGCCGCGGAGGAGCCTCGCGCAGCGAAGACTTTCCGCGTTTGCCGGCGAGGAGGAGGAGCGGTGACGGTACGTTGCCTGCTCCCATTCCTCGGGACCCACTTCGGCCCCATCGATGCTGGTTCGGTGCCGATGTCGGCCAGATCGATGTGATTCGACCTCGATGTCTGAGAGGGCCGATGCGGCCCGATGCTACGCGGTTGTGCCTCATGGTGCAGCCGATCCGATTCGATTTCGACTCCGTGCCGATGCGACCCGACCCGTCGCACGTTGCGATTCGACGCGATTTCCCGATTCGATGCTGATTGATCCTCCTCATTGCAGCCTCGCTTCTGCTGGGCGACTCTCGGGGCTTGGCCAGCGCAAAGAGGAGGATCGAGGATCGAGGAGGAGGAGGAGGAGGAGGAGGATCGAGGAGGAGGAGGAGGATCGAAGTTCTAAGGCTTTAGAACTTTTTCTAGCCTCTGGGAGACTTCCGGTCGCCATGCCTGGGCTATCCCTCGGAATGTTGGCCAGAACGACCCCAGGAGAGGTCTCGGGGCAGATTGTTCAGAGGAGGAGGAGGAGGAGGAGGAGGAGGAGGAGGAGGAGGAGGAGGAGGGAGAGGAGGATGATGATGAGGCATGATGATATTGGATTTGATCTTGGATTTTACGAGATTGCTACAATCGCGTGTCGGAATTGCATAACTGACAACTCTGGGCCTCCCGTTGAGCACGCCTCCCAACGCGAGAACACGGATGAGCCTGTCACCACGTAATTGGTCCCGATTGCCAGCATCAATATTTCAGCGCCAGATCTTGTCACCCTCTTCCAGGGAAGCCGAAAGCCCAACACAGCGGGTTATCACACAAGGAATATCCAGTTGCTCTCGTGATCACGTGCTCCACGAAAGGCTACACTCCTGCATGCAGACGACCAACTCCACCACCTCCTCCTCCTCCTCGTCCGCCTCCTCTTCCTCCTCCTCCTCATCTTCCTCATCCTCTTCCTCCTCCTCCTCCTCCTCCTCCTCCTCCTCCTCCTCCTCCTCCTCCTCCTCCTCCTCCTCCTCCTCCTCCTCCTCCTCCTCCTCCTCCTCACTCTGCATCATCACCCTCCTTCCCCTGGCGCCCGCGCACGAGGGAGCCCGCGCGAGGGGAGAGGAGATGGAGGGCGCGCGGGGGCGATGCAGGGAGAGTGGACGGGGGAGGAGGGCGGGAGGAGGACTCCTGGGAGGGGGGAGGGCGGAGGATCGGCGGGGTGCCCTGAGGGGACGGCACAGGGGGCGGACCTTTTCAGACGACGCAGAAGGCCTGCGCCCTTTGGGGACGCGTTCGAAGCCTTCTCCAGTCTCCAAAGCTGCAAAAAGGCTCAGAAGCTCGGTGGGCGTCTGCAAAGCCCCGCCGCGCTCTGAGAAGGCCCGCCCCCCTCACCTTCCCCCCTCAGCTCGCCGCCAAGGGGAGGAGGGAGAGGAGGAGGAGGAGGAGGAGGAGGAGGAGGAGGAGGAGGAGGAGGAGGA